GAAACTTGCAGTGGAGTAGAGTCAGTGATTCGAGCTCAGAGCCCTGGGGCAGGCCGCTGGGGTCAGTGTCTGTCCTGGGCTTTCATTTCCTCCTTGGCTCCTGGCCTGGCAACTGGAGATTGCTTTTTGGAGAGGAGACTCAGAACCAGAACCTGGAAAGATAAGAGGAAGGCTGTCTGGGACAGCTCTGCAGATCCCACTGGACTTGGCTTAATGGAAACTGTCTGTTTCTGTTCTTGCTCAGCAGTGTGGGGGGTGGGGAGGGCTGGAGCACAGAAGACAGTAGTGGTCTCTGAGGCTCAGGTTGTGAGACCAAGCAGTGCTTTCTGGCCCAGCATACGGTCTCCCAGCCAGGTGTGCACTGTGGCTTCCACCTCACTCTTCTCTCTGTGACGTACTCACGTCGCCGGTCAGGTCACTGGTGCCCAGGGCACTCCAGCGACGCCGCTTCAACTTTTGTTTGTTTGTTTAATCATTTTATTGGGGACTCGTACAGCTCTTATCACAATCCATGTGTAGATCGTTTGTGTCAAGCACATTTGTACATTTGTTGCCATCATCATTCTCAAAACATTTTCTTTGTACTTGATCCCTTGGTATCAGCTCCTCATTTTTTCCCTTCCCTCCCTGCCCCCCTCTCTCACAAACCCTTGATAATTTATAAATTATTATTATTTTGTCCAGCTCCAAGTTTGTTTGTTTTTAAACATTTTATTAGGGGCTCATACAACTGTTATTGCAATCCATACACACATCAATTGTGTAAAGCGCATTCGTACATCGTTTCTCAAAACATTTTCTCTCTACCTAAACCCCCGACATTAGGTCCTCATTTTTCCCCTCCCTCCCCGCTCCCCCCTTCCTCATGAGCCCCTGATAGTTTATAAATTGGTATTTTGTCGTATCTTGCCCTGAGCCCCAACTTCTTAATAGGCGCTTGTACCTCTTAGCATCAAGGAAGTTCCCCCTGGCGTCTACTTTAAGTCTTGTATGCTAAAGGCTAAGTCTGTTTACGCTAGCCCGGTTTTTATTGTGTGTAAAACTAGGCACAACAAGACCTCCATCCTTTGAACAGTCTCTGTGTTCAGTTTAATGGTGTATACTTACTTCCTGTTGGGGCTCCGTCTTCACTGTTTCATCATCGCTATTTTAGACTCGCTGGCCATCCCTCCACGTTCTTCTCTCTGCCGTAGGTTAGACGTTGTCAGCTTGATCCCATGCCAGTAAGTGCAGTGCTCAAGGCAAACATTCTGTATTAGTTGAGCTGAACTGTTGTTTCGCTTAAAGATGATTTCATGGGATCATTTCTGGGCAAAGGATTCAGAGTTTCCCCTAGTCTTAATGGATCCAGTAAATCTAGTTTCCAAAAAAAAAAAAGAAAAAGTGAAGCTGTGTTGCACATTTTTTCTCTTTGATCAAGGTCCATCAATTGGGTCTCTGATCAGAAGGTTCATGGTGGCCGGACACCATCCATTTCTTCTGGTCTCCTGGAAAAGGAGGTAATGATCATGTATCTTCCTCTGTTCTTGATAGAAGCTGATCTTCCTTTCAAATCCCCGAAGACAAGCTGTGCCCTTGGCCCGGCCCACCGTGGTAGAGGCTGACTAGATGCTGTTGTTAACACTCATCTTTTTAGCATTTGATGGCTCCTGTTTCCACTGCTGTGATTTGAGCTTCATGTGCTTTTCTGAAGTGTTAGGTTCATCCCCCACTGAGCTTTCCTTCCGCATCCTCTTATTTTTCAGTCAGGCCCCCATAAACCCCAAAGTGCTCTGAGCGCCATCTAGCCTCCATGGGGACCCAGTGCGTACCATGTTTCCAACCTCCTCTAGAATGGCATTGGCTAAAGTTAATGCAAGGCGTAAAAGATCGGTCCTCAGCCTATTTCCCCATCCTCCCAGTGCCCTCTGACTTCCTCCGTGGCCTTGGGTGGATTCCAGGGTATCTCCACTCTGCTTGTCAGCTCTAAGAGGGAAAGATTGATTTCACCTCTCCCTAGAAGGGGGGTAGCCATGACTTGGCAAGAGCCTCGAGAGCCTGCACATTTGTGGGTTCTTATTTCAGTGTTCTGTTTTAGTTGTTACTAGATGCTATCATGTCAGTTCCAACTCATAGCGACCCTGTATACAACAGAGCAAGACCTGCCCAGTCCTGCGCCAGCCTCACCATTACTCCTCTGCTTGACCTCACCGTTGGCACCCGCTGTGTCAGTCCATCTCCTTGAGGGCCTGGTCTTTCCTGACAACATGTCCAAAGTATGTGAGACGAAGTCTTGCCATCTCTGCCTCTACAGAGCATTCTGGCCGACGTCTGCCAAGACATTCATTTGTTGTTCTTTTGGCTGTCCCGGTACTTTCAGCACTCTTCACCAGCCCCATAATTAAAACTCATTGATGCTTCGTCCGTCTTCCTTGTTCAGTGTCCAACTGTCACATGCATGAGAGGCCATTGAAAGTACCAGGGTGTGGCTCCCATGCACTTTAGTCCCCACAGTAACCTTCCTGCTTTTCAACACTTTAAAGAGGTCTTGTGCAGCAGATTTACCCAATGTAATGTGTTATTTGATCTCTTGACTGCTGCTTCCATGAGCATTGATTGTGGATCCAAGCAAGACAAAACCCTTGACCAACTTCCATCTTTTTTCCTTTCACCATGATATTACCTACTGGTCCACAAGAGCCCCATGTACCCTAGTGATGTGGTTCTGAGTGACATGCTGGGAAGGAGTTCAGTCTTTGTGGTCAGAAGACCAGGGAGATGCTCAGGAGCCCCGAAGGCCTCTGGGAGTTTGGAACAGAGAGAAAAGGTAGAAAACGTGTGGGTATCTGAGACTAGAGACTTGATGGCAAGCCAGAGAGGATCATCGTCCTTAGGTAGTATTTACAATCTTAGTTCATAGACCGCTTTCACAGTAGTCGCTTGCCGTTTTCAGACAAACGCTGTTGTAGTGTAAGTACACCCACCCACTGCCATCAAGTCAGTTCCGACCCACAGTGGCTGCCCAGGCTAGGCTTTCCGAGGCTGTCAATCAGACAGTCTCATCTTTCTCCCAAAGAGTGGCTGGTGGGTTCCAAATGCTAACCTAGGTGGTTAGCAGCCCAGCGCTTACCCAACAGTGTCCCCAGGGCTCCTAACATGTACATGCATAGATATTTCTGACTGAGACAGGGGATAGGGAGTAGATCGCTTCTTTGGGATCCCTTCATCACTAAGTGTCAGAGCTGAGGCCCCAACCTGTTTGCTGATTTGTGCCTCAGGCATGCTCAGCTGTGTCGTGTGGGATGGAGGGTGGTATCCTCAGTGTGGGTCTCTAGCTCTGTGGTTATTATCGAACCTCTCTGAGCCTGACTCTCCTTCTCTCTAAAATGCCTGCCTTGAAAAGTATTGTAGGATCCAATGAGAAATTGTGAGTAAATTGTCTAATACATCTGTTCCTTTATTCCTCACCCACCTTCAGTTACCAAGACAGAATTCCATTACTGTGTGTGTGTGTGTGTGTGTGTGTGTGTGTGTGTGTGTGTGTTTAATTACACCTGAGAGCAGGTATTGAACGTGACTATGATATTGAACTATAAGACAAAAAGTTCATGGACAAATGGAATGAAAAGATAATCGGACTTTTCCTATGAACTTTGCGAAACCCTCTGGTATGGCCACTGATGGCCGGGTAAAGGGGAGAAGGCCTCCTCTGGTATGGCCACTGATGGTCCAGTAAAGGGGAGAAGGCCCACATGAGAAATGTTCAGAGTTAGCGTGCCACGCAGAACAGCGTGTGTTATGGGGCCACAGTGAAAACGCAGGTGGGATTCTGCAAGGAGGAGGCTCCGAGTCCTGAGTCAGGAAGGACAGTATAGATGGACAGGCGAGCCAGACTGGGAGCAGGGACAGGAGAGACGGGGGACCTAGCCGGGGATGCTTTGTGGGACAGGCTGAACCCGCCGTGTGCACTTTTCTGTTGCTAACCACACATAAGAGATAACTGGCGCCCAGGTTGTACCGCTAGGAACTAATGGCCAGAACTCTCCGTGAGCTGAGTGACTCAGTTTCCCTGTGGCTATAACTCATCCAAAGACACCGATTGGGCAACTCCGTGGTCCCTTGCTCCGTCTCTTACACACAGTAGGTTCTCAGTAGTTAGGATGGAAAGAGCTTTTAACAGGTGGATCCCAGAGGAACTTGGGAGATGTAAGGATTAGTCGAAGAAGATGGGCAGAGGACTGGACTTCATGTAGGACTTTAGGGACGAGCGGGACGACTTTCAGTCCCCATCTCATCATCTCTGTTTGCTGCTGCCCAAACAGCTTCTTGGTTTGGGTCGTAACTCTGTCTTTTTGTTTGTTTACTTGTTTTTTTTTTAAAATAAAATGTTGAAGCTTGCTATTTGCATGCCTGGCATCCTTCCTGCAGGTGGAGCCACCGAGGAACTGGTGGTGTGTTCAAAGTCACTTGCACTAGGGACAGTCCTGATGACTCAGAGGGCTAATGCGACGACCCTCTGTCTTGGCCCAAACCCTGCTACTCATCACTTTCCTGCCTTCCTCCTGGACACGAATAACTCTCTCTGGCAGACAATAGATCATGCTTGGAGAAGGAATGCATTTACTCCAATGGCTTTGACCTTGAATGCCTCAGCAGAGTAGTTAACAAACCATCGAGTCCCACCGGAATTCCCCAGGCCTGTGGTTATGTAGTCTGGAGAAGTGGTTTCAGAAGTGAAGCCGAGATTGGGTGAGATTGTGGGCCAAACCCCATTCATCTTCTGGTGGACACATTTGTAGGAAGAAGATTGGATAAAGCTTTTTCTTCCCACTGAGGACCAAATGGGAGGAAATAGTCAATTTTGTTTTCTAAAGGGTGGGGTCAAGGAAGGTGGCGCAGCCTGTTCCCTGAGGGTGGCAGAGAGGGGCAGAAAGGCCGCTGTGGGCCGGCCCTTCCTTTGTGCCTCATGTCACGAGTATCTCCTGTCCTACACAGTGAGGTCTTATTTCTGTTTCTCTCAGTCAGACTCGGAGGAAGATGAGCCCACAAGGAAGAAGGCCGCCCTTCAGGTAAGCCTGGTGACCGAAGAAGCCGCTTCTCCTCCCCTGCCTTGTCTCCTGGGAGCGGACTTCCCAGCGAGACTTACATCTGCCGTGGCCATTGAGGATGGGCTATGTAGGTTTGGTGGTTCCCTGTGTTACCTTGAGCCCTGCCGGCTGCTTCTCTGCCCGCTCCTGGTTGTGTCCTGGCTTTCAGCAGGGCGGGTAGTTCCCTGTCCTGGCGCCGGTCTGTGGCCGTGGCAGAGGGGAAGTCGGACTCGATTCAGACTGATACACGGATTATCTAAGGAAGGGACCGAGAATGGGTTTGGTCAGAATGATGCTGGGGATCCACCTATTTTAAAATTATCCATCTTAATAAAAAATTTTTTTAATAAAAAAAAAAAGGTCTTCTCCCTGCCTCCAGTTCACCTGGAAAATAAAACCCTGAATAGCACATGCTCTGTGATAGGTCCTGTTATGCTGGAGGCGTAGCGTCACATCATCACTCCCATTTTATATGTGTGAGAAACAGGTGCAGAGAAGGGGGCCCTTGTCCCTGGCTAGACAAGTAGTGGTAGTGGAGTGGGGACTCAGGCCCAGGCCGGCTGATACTTCTCCATAAACGGGGTCGGAAGTCCTCAACTGAGTGCTGCCCCTCTCCTCCCCCTTGTCCCAGGGCCTCTCTTCCTCTGCTGCTCACAGGGCCCTTATGCTCCCTGACCTGCTGTTGACCATATGGCTCAGGGCATAGCAGCCGTGGCCCTGCTTCCCAGAGGGCTTGTGGTCCAGTGGACTCTGCTGGAGCGCCCTTTCCCATCACTGTTAAGGGTGCTCCCCCAGCTGTCTGCATTACTTCTTTTCAAGTTGATTAAAGAGCTCTGCTGAGGGTGGTACTGTCCCCCTGGGACCTGCTTCTCCCTGTCCGGGGGCCAGGGCCCTGCAATGGGTTATGAAGGCGGCTTCCTGGAAGACTTGGGTGGGCTGAGACTGATGGCTGTCAGTCTTGCTCCTGTTGCCCAAGTGGCTTCCAGGAGGAGGTGGACTCGCAGCAGAAGTGCTTGGGAGTAAGGAGCAGGCAGGCAGCCCTGCAGCCGGGCGGGAGCACAGGCACAGAGGACTTGGCACTGCCAGGGATCTGAGCAGACACAGTGGCAGCCTGAGGTTGCCCTCCATCTGCTTCCTCTGACCCGGCCGCCACAAGCTCGTGTGGCACAGGCATCGGGGCACAAGCCCGCTGTGGATTCTGCACTCTCTCTGGCCAGTTCTTGGCCGAGAGGGCTGGAATACACCTGACTCCAGGACAGTGACTTCAGCCCACTGTCCATTTTCATATCGGCAACTCTCTGCCTCGCAGTTAGGCAGAGCTGGCCCCTGAGCACCCGGAGGCCCCATCAGAGATTCGTGCAGGCCACAGGAACTCTGGAAGGGCGGGGCCGATTAGCCAAAGAGCGGCTAGGTTCACTGCCCTGACGGACAAGCCTTGCTACCCCGACTGTGGAGCCTTCTTGGTGGGAGAGGATGAATTTTGGAGCATTTCCGAGTGTTTCTTTTGGACGGGCAGCACCTCGCACTTGACACTGGGGGCCGCCCAGAGGAAGGAGAGGGCTGCATGTGAGCGGGCAATCCCACAGGAGGAAGCCCCCAGGAGCTTCTTCCCCAACCCCGATGAGCCACCTGGGGTTGAGCCCTGCCTTTCAGGACAGGCTCCGGGGAGGGAGGGAGGTCCATGAAGAGCATCGTTATTACCAAAAATGGAACTCTGGGGGAGGGGCGCTTATGAAGGAGGGCCGGGGGCTGGACTGGGAAGGCATCTCATGCTGGAAGATGGCTGGGCCTGAGGTCGGGGCTAAGCTGGGAGGTTTTAGCTCAGAACCCCTCACCTTGGTTCTTGCCCTTGATGTTGTTAACTTGTCACCTAACATCTCCCTTGTCATCTTTCTTCCCTCTGCCCCTGCCTGGGCTCACCAGGGATCCGGCGAGGGGACTGGTTTGTCTGCCTTGCTCCCCCAACCTAAAAACCTGGCTGTGAAAGAGACTAACAGGTTGCTCCTGCCCCACGCCTTCTCGCGGAAGCCCTCCGACGGCTCGTCTGACAGTGCGCCCTCCAGGCTGGCTCCTAAGACCAAGCCCTCCTCTCTCGCCCCTGTCGTGGGCACCACAACCACCACTCCGTCGCCCTCTGCCATCAAGGCTGCTGCCAAGAGCGCCGCCCTGCAGGTGACAAAGCAGATCACACAGGAGGATGACGACAGCGACGAGGAAGTAGCCCCCGAGAACTTCTTCTCCCTCCCTGAACAGGCTGAGCCGCCTGGCGTGGAGCCCTACCCTTACCCGCTGCCCCCTGTCCCCGAGGAGCTGCCGCCGGGCACCGAGCCGGAACCCGCCTTCCAGGATGACGCAGCCAATGCCCCCCTTGAGTTTAAGATGGCAGCAGGCTCAAGTGGGGCCCCTTGGATGCCTAAGCCCGGGGACGACTACAGCTACAGTCAGTTTTCCACCTACGGTGATGCCAATGCTGCTGGTGCTTACTATCAGGTGGGTAGGAGGCACGCAGGGCAGGCTGGGCATGTTGGATGGAGCACGGGGTGCCGGGAGGCTGTGCGCAGTGTCACTGAACTAGTGACGCACCTAGCAATTTGATTTTCCTATACTTACCAGGCTTCGAGACATAGTGATTTTCTTTTGAACTGTGTTGAATCTGACAGACTTGTAGAACTTCATTGTGTGGCTCTATTCTGAAAACAGTGTGGAGAGGAGCCCTGCTGATGGAGCAAGTCCTCCATTGGGCTGCTAACCGCCAGGTCAGCAGTCTAAATCAGTCCCCAGCTGCTTCTCAGGAGAAAGATGAGAGTTTCTGCTCTTGTAAAGAAGTGCAGCTTTGGACACCCTTGGGAGCAGTTCTACCCTGCCCTGTAGGGTCGCTCTGAGTCAGCATGGACTGATTGGCAGCTCAGTTTAACAAGTGGAAGAGGAATGAGCTCTCATCTTAAAAAAGACCCCCTTCCTCAAAGGGGGACAGTGAGGATAAGTGATCTAGGGCACCGACTTCTAGATGGTTAGTTCAAGAAACGTTTCTGCAGGTGGTGAACGTTGAGGAAACCGAAAGGCAGGTGTGGAGGTGTGGGGGGGGGTGTTGAGGGGGCCAAGGAGAGCAGCTGGAAAGAGGAATGAGGGGAAGGAGTCCTGAGAGGGTGGAAGGGCTGGGCAAGTCTGTGGAGAAGAGCAGGCTGGGGTGAGAGGGGAGTTCTGAGCCAGGCTGGGCATGTGTCCTGGCTGTGTGGGTCAGGGGACATCATTGAGTGTCACAGAGGCCACAGCCGTACAATGAGAATAGTCATCGGGTTGGTGAGAGGATTGCATTGCTTACCATGGGGCCTGGGACATAGCAGTGATCCATTGAGGATGATTGTAACTTTTTATTCAGAGGTTACTGGAAGAGATCATTAGATTTGTTCTGTGTGGCCTCAGAGAGAGAGAGAGTATAGAATGGCAGGTTTGTAAATTGAATTTTTAAAAGTTTCCCAGCAGTCAAAGGTTCCCCGGATGGAGAAGGCTCCCATGAGTTAGGGGACTCTGTATCACTGATCTCCGTCTGAGCTGGGCAGCTGCCAGCCCGGGCTGGTCCTGGTCGGAAGACTTGGGCCCCGGGCTCTGAGCCCCTGCGACTCTAAATAGCAGTGTTAATATTCACCTCCAGCTTAGACGTTGGCAGGGAGGGTGGCCTTTGAGAGGACCTTGTTCTGGCCGAAGACTTTGAAAAAGAATTGGGTTTTTAACATCTTTCCTGTAAAAGCCAGTTGGATCTAGTAGACTGATTAGGGATAGTGTATCTCCCCTTGAAGCTGTTATTAGAAGGAATGAGTTAGAGCAATGTTTCCCCAAGTGGGTGATGGAGGCAGGGCCAGTGGTATGGGCTGGACCAGTCAGTACAAAAGCAGATACCTACACTTCATCCCGGAATATGGGCTACAGTACAAACGTTTTTAACTGTCCGGGGGCTCTGGAGAATTTTTTTTTCCTGAAAAGGCAGTAGACCAAATATGTTTGGGAACCTATGAATTAAGACTATAAATAATAAAAAAGTTTTGACTTTGTTTTGGGTGGGGGGAGGTGGTGGAAGCTATTCATAGTTAAGAACACACTGGTTTACATCAAGCAAGTGGGAATTCTGTTTGTAGGTCTAACCACCATTGAGATATGCAAATTAAATCCCTTTAAATGCAGTAGTTGCTAGGTGCCAGCATCTATGTGGACACACGGTCCTGTGTATCGGATAACTGGCCCCACAGGGTTTCCTGGGCAGCGTCGTCATGGGAGCAGACCAGGCCCTTCCCCCGCAAGTGCTGGTCTGTGTGAGGATCCCATCTTTGAGCTCAGCACTTAACCATCCATCGCCCCACCTGCAGTTCAACTGTATCTGATTGTCATTCTTTGGCAGAAGATGCATACTCTGATCTCTGACTTTGTATATGACTTTGGCTTAATGATGACTGAACTTTCAGCTCACTATAAAAATCCTCTTTGAGGGGTATTTCTTGGTGTTTGGGGCACAGGTGTCAGAAGTAGTCAGCAACAAGTGTGGGCCAACCAGAAAGTGACTCTTTGCCCTGTGGCCACCTGGGTTGACTCCAGCAGAGTCCCTGCCCTCTGAGGGGATCACCGGATTCCAAAACAGTAACTGACCACACAGACCTGGTGGTCCCCAGCTTTGTCAGCTCCACAGCACCCGTGTAGAGGCTTATTTTAGACTCTGCTCCCAGTCCTGGGAAACAGCCCCTCTCTCCGTCGGCTCAGTGCAGGCTGGGTGTGCTTGCAATGGCTCTCAGCCCTCCTCACCCTGGCTGTGTGCATTCTGGGAAGCCGGGCGGAGGCCTGGCGAGGGCCTGGGAATTGTGCTTGGGTGACAGCCAGGGCAGCCAGGCATAGACTGAAGCTGGAGGGGTGTGAACTCTGTCTGGAGACACAGGAGGAAAGCTGCAGGGACTGTTGTTTCGGAAGTCTGAGGCAGTATGCAGGGCCCGGCATTGATGGGCTCCCTGTGAGGTCTGCCGTGTGGGACCCCCTGCGCCTCTGTGAGGAGGCTTTTCTCTGGCCCTGGGCAGATGTGCCCTCACTCCGCGGGGCCCTTAGCATGGTGTGCTCTTTCCTCCTTGACTGCAGGATTATTACAGTGGTGGCTACTACCCCGCCCAGGATCCGGCCCTGCTCCCTCCACAGGAAATTGCCCCGGATGCCTCCTTCATCGATGACGAAGCAGTAAGTCCACAGAGCACCCAGGGCCCTCTTCGACCTACAGGTTCCAGGGTTCATAGCTGACTAAAGGAGATTTAAGAAGGAAAGAAAATGGAGTTAGGGTTACGTTTGGTAACAGACAACTGAGAAACTCCACAGAGGATGAAAGAAGTCTTTTTCACTCCTGAACAGCTAGGGCAGCGTGAGGACTGGCAAGTTGTCAGGGATCCAGCCCCTTCTGATCCCAGTTTTGCCATCTCTGGGCTCTTAGACTTACTAGATGAAGTCCAGCAGGGGGCGCAGTGGCGAATGGCCTGTCCCTCACTCTAGGAGTCATTGCTGTATTCCAGGCAGCAGAGTGGAGACAAGGGGAAACAATTCTCAAAGTCCCAGAGAACCCGTCCTCCTTCACCCGATTGACCAGAATTTGGCCATATCTAGTTGCAGGGGATCCTGGGAAATGCAGTCTTTTCATTGAGTGGTAGCATGCCTTGCTGAAAAGTTGAGTTTGTTCTCTCTGCAGAAGAGGGGAGAATGGATTGGGGAGGCAGTCAGCAGTTCAGGACCTCCTTCACTTCACCCGCCTGTCCTGACGGGACGCTAGATAGAGCACCATGTCTGACTGTCGGCCCAGGCTGTGAGGAGGGAGTTGGAGAAATGGGGAGCTGTCTCTGGGCGGCGGGAGGTGTCAACATGTGCTGTGTTTCTACCCACCTTTTCCCAGAAGGGCGTTGGTCCCCTTGTGAATGCCTCCCTGTGTGTCCCCCCATCCTGCTGACAAGCTCAGCCGGCAGTGGGCAGCACGTGCCGTGGCAAACAGCACAGTTCCAGCACGAGAGCCTTGGAAGCCTCCCAAGGGCTGGCTCTCGCTGGGTCCTGGGTCTCTGGGGGCTTCTTTATTCGAAGACCCCTCCCACACATTCCCCTCCAGCGCTTGTCAGGACCGTTTGTGGCGGACTCCTAGGAAATTGGCTGTGCCCTCATGACTTTTATATGAGGCTCCTCTTTATGCTCCGTCACGGCCATTCTTGGGGGCTCTGCTGACTGGTAGCACTGAGCTAATGAGGACCCAATTGTCAAAAGAACGGTTTTTTGTTTTTAAGAGAAGAAATCCTAAATTTTCTTTTGCCAGAGTTTTGTCAGCAGATACAAAATAAAAACTAATTTATACCAGTGGTGCTTGTACCTCTTGCTTCCCTTGCCTGGAGGCCAGCAGGCCTTCGAAGGAGTGGCCTTTCTCAGGCATCCAGGAAGCTAGGGGACCTGGCAGGGGCCAGCGTGGAAGGGCAAGGTGCCACCGAGAGGGAGGGATTGAGGAGGCTGTGGGACTGTGAGCCACAACTTCAGGCCACAGACTCCCAACTCCTTCCTCCACCCAGATGGCCCATGCCTCCTTTCTCTTTCTTTTCCAGTTTAAGCGACTGCAGGGCAAGCGGAACCGAGGAAGGGAGGAGATCAACTTTGTGGAGATCAAAGGTGATGACCAGCTCAGTGGGGCCCAGCAGTGGATGACCAAGTCTTTGACAGAAGAGAAAACCATGAAGTCGTTCAGCAAAGTAAGGGTTCAGGTCTCGTGAGGGGCCATTTGGGAGACCCCAAGGCTAAGCGAGGCTTTGCCCAGCCTCACACTCCACTGCTACTCTCATAACACCTTTAGCAAACACCTGTGGCTCCTGCTGTTCCCGCCCCGCCTGCGGTGTCCGTGAACGGAGCCCCCAGCGAGAGCTCCCGGGGACTTTGCTCTCCCCCCATCTGGCCATGGCAGTGTGCTTATGGAGCTGAAGGCCTGGCGTCACTTTCCAGCCTGTGGTTGGAAAGCTCTCTGACAGCTCGGGGCTCCTTCCCTGACTAGCTCGAAGCCACAGCTGCTTGGCCCTCACCCTGCTGTGAAGCTGGGGCCTGGCTCAGCACCTTTTGGAGGTGTGGGCCTAGAAGGGCCTCCAACGCCCCAAGGTCGCTGGGTTCTGCCCAGGCAGCCATGCCTCTCCTCCTCTCCATTATTGACTGTAGCTAGCAAACGCTCGCAGTCCGTGTGATGAACACCGCTTCACCTGGTCGCTGAGCACAGCAAATGTGGACATTTATGAGCCTGCCACAGGGGGATCGAGCAGGGGGAAGCCCTGGCCTGGAGCCCAGCCCCAGCAAGGCCAAGGTCAAGGATTTGATTCCCATCTCCTCCCCCATTTGCTTTGCTTTGTTCTCTTGCCACAGATGGCCATCCTAGCCCCAGCCGTTTGTTTTAACTGAATGCAGGCGGTCTTTCGGGACAGAGCAGAGGATTGTGGTTAGATCAGCACAGATCCGATCCATCACTGCTTACTGGAAAACCACTTAGGAGAGCAAGCTCTACTAACTGTGGGTTGAGAAGCATCTTCACGTAGTGATAGCTGCTGGTACTGCTCACTGTGGGCCAGAGATGGGGCGGCTGCTCTATCTGTGTTGTGAACTGACAGCATGAGTTGACAGTAACAGCCAGGAAGTGGAATTTGCTCTTTTCCTGGCTCGTTCAAGTTCTGTTTCCACTGTTGCAGTGTGTGGGGCTAGATTTTGAAAGAAGATAGAATTCTTGTCTTCAAGGAGTTTGAGCAGAGTTGGGAAAGAGATTTAAGGATATTTGAGTGTAAATGATTACAGTGCAAATTGATGACCCAAGTGCTGAGGAGACTCCAGAGATGAGTGTTGGGTGCCGGGTGGGGCTGAGTAGGAAGCTTCTAGTCTGGCAGAGGACAAAGCCAAGCAGACGGAACCGCACATCGCTTGCATTTGGTTGGGCTGGGGGTTCCATGCAGCCCCGGGGGGTGGGAGGGTGGAGTGGGGGTGCGGGCAGGGCGATGGGAGGGAGGGTGGATCATTGACGATTCTAATTCCAGGGCTCCAGGGCCACTGCTAGCACTTAGAATCGGGGGAGGAGGGGCTCCAGCCAAAGGTAATTAATGGGAGAGAGCTTGGTAAGCGGGAGCTTGGAGACAGGCTAGACATCTGGCCTGACTGGGGAGAAAGAGAGCTGGAGCGGGCTTAGAGGGGGAGATGGGCGGGCAGAAGAGCTGTGAGGTCTGGAGGGGGCCCGACTGCCAGCCTGGGCACTTAGACACCCCCCCACCCCCACACCCCACCCCGCTGCCGGCAGGAAGACTGGGATCAGGTGTCCGCCATCTTGGTACTGAGGTGGTGGTAAATAGAAAACACAGGCTGACCTCAAAATCTTTCCAGTTTAATGGGGGATATTAGCAGGCTATTTCAGGCAGTATCCTGAGCTTGGGTTTTCTTCGTCGTCGTCTTCTATTTAATAAAAATAACTTTTGTAAGTACAAAGACAAAAACAGCTCCAAGCTGATTTTTCTCCCTTGGGATTTGGGATGTCATTGTTTTCTCACTTCCCAGCCTTGCCGTCCCTGCCACTGGCTGGGCACAAGGAGCTCCGGTGGCTCAGAGGTTATGCCTCGGGCTGCTCACTGCAAGGTCAGCAGTTTGAAACCACCTGTTCCTTGGGAGAAAGATGAGCTTTCCACTCCCTGAAGAGTTATGTGTCCCGTCACCACCCCACCCCCTGTCCCACAGAGCCACTCTGAATTGGCGCCCACCCGATGCAGGAAGGGAGTCTGGCTTGATCAGGTCACAGGGCTGCAGTTTTCCCGGGGTTAATGCTCCTGCTTTCTTCCCCTGCAGAAGAAAGGTGAGCAGCCAACAGGCCAGCAGCGGCGGAAACACCAGATCACGTATCTGATTCACCAGGTGAGAGGGCTGCAGGTGTGGTGCTGAGATGTGGACCAGCTGGGAACAAGCGTCCTCCCCTGGTTCTGTGGCCACTAGGGGCGGGGGGGGGGGCGGGGGCGGGATGTCGTCTTTCTTCAGCATTATCCTGCCCCTTCAGAGAAGACTCAGGACAGTAGTGAAACTTCAGATCGTGATTTGGGTGATGGCTTGTCACAGGGCTCTTTAAGCAGAGTTATCTAGTCATCTGAACAGCTGGCTCGCCAAGTTTTAGCTGAATGTGGACCTGGCTCTGTCCCGAGTATGTGGCAGAGAACAGCAGCACGGGATTCAGAGTCACAGGGTCCCACACTGTCTTTCGGTCTGAGAGGGGCCCTTCGTGTTTACTCGGTGTGCTTCAGCAGCTTTCAGACACTCAGTGAGCCCCCGAACAAACAGCTTTTTGAGACCAACTGTGGGAGCCGCTGTCAGAGGTACAGACATTTCCTCACACGGGGAGACTGTGTGTTTCGTAGGCAACATCGTGGCAAACTGTGCCTCAACCTTCTCAGGAACTGTAATTTGTAGGCAAAGAAATTCAAGTTAGGGTTGTGTTTTGTAAGCCTCTCTTACTAATCCCACTCCTCCCCTTCCCAGGAGAAATGAGCAGGCATCAGATCTTTCCTGGGAGTTGGGGGGAGGGGCCGTCAGAAAGTATCGGGCTCAGAGAGGAAAGTCATGCTTCTAGTGGCTCCGTCACGGAGCCTCAGAGACAGTTTCAGTTTCCACTGGCGTGGAGTGCAGGCTACCACAGACAGGGCATGGTGTCCAGTGCCCCGGGAGGATGCCTCTCTGGACTACGGGGTGCTGGTGTGAGTCCAGTGTGGAGCTGCCCTCCTCTCCCTGCTGCTAGCCAGGTGTCCAGGCATCTGGTGCTCCCGCCCGCTTGGTTAACCCGGGCAGACAGCGGGCCAGGAGTCTGAGCCGTTGGCATATTAGCTCCCCAGAGAGAAAGGGCAGTTGTTTTCATGGGCAGGGTCTTGGCAGCCCTGTGACCCCCATTCCTGTCCCCTGCCACAGGCGAAGGAGCGCGAGCTGGAGCTGAAGAACACGTGGTCAGAGAACAAGCTCAGCCGCCGCCAGACCCAAGCCAAATACGGATTCTAGGGCCCGGACCGGATCTCTGCAGGACCACCAGCCGGCCCGGAGCCCCAGCCTTGCTTCTGGGCCCCAGCTGCTCCCAGCCCGGGATCTCTCCCCGAGGACCCAGCCCTCGCCTCTGCGAGAAGGAACCTCTTTGATAGATTTTTTCTTAACAAGCTAGGAAACTCGCTCCTGCTTTCTGTGTAGGAGCTCGCACAGACTCACGCGGACGCCTCAGAAGGGGCCCCCAGTGGATGGGGGCTTTGCTCCCTGGTGGATGTGATGACATGTGGACCCCCTCTCCTCCCCCCTTTTTTTTTTTAAGCCAGGGATATCTGTTGAAATAAAACCTCCAGTCTGACAGACGCGCCTGCCCTCGCCCTGTGCCACCTCCTCTGCCCATTCTGGACCCTTTGTGTGTGAGTGGCCTTGCCCCGGGGTCTGTTTTGCACTGGCCTAAAGTGCCCACCACACCCTCTGGAGCTGCCTCTGGGTGAGTGGCCATTGAAGATCCTTGGAGTGGTACACACAGCTGCAGAGAGGGGTGGGGAGAAGCTGGGGGCGAGCCACGAGGCTCTAGCGCTTTTCTCTGGCGGGAAAGAGCTGCTAGGCTTACTAGATGAAGTCCTGCAGGGGGCGCAGTGGCGAATGGCCTATGCCTGAAGATGGTTCCCGTTCAGGCCAGTAGTCACTGGCCTGAGCTGGTCTGGAAGCTTAGCACAGAGCTTGGGAGTGAGACAGATCTCTTTGGAGACGTCTGGTTTCCTAACATTTGGCTGAGGGAAGGCCTGGTTGGGCAGGCGTTTGGGGAAGGGAGGGGGCAGATAGCTGGGACGCCGAGGTGCCCAGAAGCAATGGCATGCCTCCTGAGGGCTGCATGCAGCACTGGCTGCTGCTCTGCGAGGTGCCCAAGGCACCGGGAGCACCGAGGCCCTGGGGCCAGGCTGAGGAGAGGTAGACTCGTAGGCTGCTGTTGCAGGTTTCTGAGCAGGAACACTAGGAGGAGTTTACGTGTGAGTTAGGTGGGTCCCGGCCTCATCCGTCCGGAGGAGCAGTTTGAAGAGCTGGCTGTGCAGTGGGGACTGGGGACAAGAGTGATGGCACACCGTGCTTCTGGCTGTGTGTGCCGGGATAAGTCAGGGCGTCTGGTTCTCATTAGGTACAGGGCAGGGTTTCCTCACTTACAGGAAAGCCACCGCTTATCTGAAATCTGACCTACTTCAGGTTGGAGCCAGACGGCTCCTGCATCCCACAGGGACGCACTGCACTGGTCCAGATCGGAGCATCCAGCCATCCTTGGTCAGGAGCCGCTACGCCCCTGCCACCACTCACCCGCACAGGCTCGGGGTCCATGACCGCCACCACCCCTGAGGAGGCTTATGTGGGGATAGGTATCAGCAGGGCCAAAGAGCTAGAGGTCCAGAGTCAAAGGTGTTCTTCCCCGTGTGCAGGGTGCTGCAGAGGCCCCCGCCGCAGTTGTCAAGCCTTGGCCTTCAGCCATCCAGCTCTCATTTGAGGGGTTGCCTCCTGGAGCTGCATGGATGTACTCGGCTACAGGCAGGAGATGCAGTGAACAAGAGCCCCAGTGTCTTCTGGGAGTGGATGGAGGGGGAGGCAGGCTGGATGGCTGTCTCAAAGGACCCTCCTGCCTCCTCCTCCTCTGGTTCTCCATAAAAGGCCTGAGTCACATTTTACCGAAGATGACATTGTATTTTGGTGACTGGAACTTCCTGCTTGAGAAATGCTGACAGGCTGAGAAATGGAGAGGTGTCGCTGAGAAAAGGCGCCCAAGGTGGCCTGCAGGGTCTTTCCAAGTTGGAATCGACTCTCTGGCAATGGGGTTTGGACCTCGATTTTGTAGGTGGGGCAAGTTCTTGGACTAGTGGTGGGAGTTCAGGGTGGGGCCTCAGTGATGATAAGCCTCCCAGCTCTGAGTGGACTCGG